TTACTCGTTACATGTAAGTTAAACGGAACTATATACATACCAACAGATTAAAGATTCGCGCTCGATGAAACGTCCCCCTTCTCTGCTTCGTCGTACAGAATCACCTAGCGAATAAGGCTGTGGTGTCCGATGACGATCCACTTAATCTTGTCTATTAGATTATAATCGAAAGCTCGATTTTTGACTGCCATTATAATCTCGCGCCCGTCTGCTTCTCGATCTTGCTGGGTGTGGTGGAGAGTATAGTGAAGTGTGTGCTAGCATTTATATGCATTTTATGATCCACTATTATGTAACGCAGAAGCGATTTCTCAGAGGCCTAGATGACTCTTCGTTGCGTATAGAAACTCCTCACAGTATATTGTTCACTCGATTTTAGATGAAACAAACCGTCACTGAGCGAGCTGCTTGAGATCGACGTTCAGAGGTATCGCGGATGTGCGACGTTATTAAACTCATCTCACTCGCCAGGGACTCACCACGGTAAGAAACGATTCAAGAAAGTCATCGACGAAGACAGAAAGAAGCAAAAGACAATCGACCGGCGTCCGCGGGTGTCTCTTCCCGTTAGCTCCTCGTGTGCATCCGTCGTTTTTTGGTGCGTTTTATCTGACGGTGATACACGTACGACCAGAATCGATTGACGATATAGACTGCGTATTAATCCTATGCAGCATCTTTTGCCAGAGGCCGACCGTGGTAGAGCTCTCTTCACAGAGGTGATTTCTGTGTATTCGTTCATAAATTGTCCTTCTATTCGTTTTTTGCTTAAATATTTCATTCTACGTTTAATGTTTATATTTACGTACGCACGTTTTGATTATATTATTTTCTTAAGACTCTTACTCTATTTCAGGATTCACACCCAGGTTATCTTGTTCATCTATAGTCATATTTTTGTACATTATGTTATCACGTTTACCTATACCTATATTAATCATTATTGCGTTTTGACGCCGTTGAATCTCTAAGTATGTCATTATTGCTTTTCAGTAAAATTGTATAATTTCACATACACATCTAGTTTCTTTGCCATTAAGTATGTTGCATGCTATATACGGCCTGCGTTACGCTTGCTATGAGTTCCTCGCTTATAGAATAATATATACATACAGCATGTATATACGGTAATAACTTAGACCCGTATCTCATACAATAGCACTTCCTCCATTGGAAGCACTTTCCTTCGTCTATCCTTATAGGCACGTGTATATTAACAAGGTTAGGCTGTTTTCTTGTGTAGCTTTCCCTTCTTGCTTGTCATTATCTGTTACTGGTATCTCATATAAGCAACGTGAAAACACGAGCCAGTTATTAACGCGAGATAGTCGGCGACTGAAGTCCTTCTTCCCGAAAGGGCCGGTGGTCTGACGCTCGCACGCAACAACACACAGAGGTAACCCCTATCGCATTCTGTTACTTGGCGGACAATATCCCAGTGGTGTTGCGCGGGAATCGCGCAGTAGCGAGATTACACGACGTCGCGATGCGAAAGAACGTAAAGATGATGATGATCGATCTCAATTCTCGCGCCAAATCATCTGCGGAAATTATAACATCGAGGACCCTGGCCATGTCGATTGAGCATGCTAGAATATGGTTACGAGCGACGTACTATAGTGCGGATTCTGTCCGAGTGTAATTATGTAGGTCACGATCCTATTTACACACGCTCAGTAACAATACTATCGATAATTACGCCCGATCGTGTAAGCAAACATTTCCATTCCTAACACAGGTAGCAGTAGTTGCGTCGCATTTCTGTCGTAATACGGTATAAAAACGAATTGTTTGGGGTTAATATATACTTATGCATTTATATATTATCAGATAAGCACTAACTGTGTGTAATCGCTGAAAGGTCTTTCGATAGCGATTAGCTTTGAATGAGGTTAAGCACTGCTCTTTACTACGACTATCATCAGTGCTTTTAGTATTATAACATATCTAATATACATTTTATGTATTCATCGGTATTCCCTATGTTACCAACTTTACATTTCTTGAATATCTTTCCGCACCGACTGATTTATTATATATATATTTAAATAAACATAATTATGAATTAAATAAATCAATAAATATAATTCATATATTCATACATAACCTATCGGTTGCGATCCGAAGAAGATGACAACCGTATTCAGCTGTTTAAGATTCATTGATTTAAGATAATAATTTTCTATGAATTCCCACCTTGAGTGTTCAATCTGACTGCAGCGCTAATATGCGCCGCGGCATTGTGGAATCAGGAGTTAGTGAATTGTTTACTGCATATATTCTTCATCCGATACGTCTATTATGTTTGTGTGATAGCTTATTGCGATTTCGCTAAACGTGCGCATTCACGCCACACAGCATTACCACTTGTATAGACTGCTAGCACGCACTCAATGCGAATGCGTTACACGCCCCCGATGTGCGCTGTGCCTCGCTCATATTACTCTTCTTGTAAGTTCACTTCTATCCAAGTTTTGCCCTCGGCAGGTCGCTCTTAATAGTGATTTAATCGCCTCCCCTGCTGACCGCCTTTTATCTTCTTACGCGGCCACCATAACACGGCCACGATGATTTGACCAGCCTTCCCCTACTCGTCTTCTCTGTGTCTGCGTTATCTGCAGATCCTTTGTTGTACCGCACCGCTTCTCCTGGTTATATGTTCTTCATCTTTTTTTTTTTCTTTTTTTGTTTGTTGTGTTTCTTGTTCTGTTGCCCCTCCTCCCCCCCCCCTGCGGTGATCACCGCGTTTTGTAAGAGCGTCTGTTGTACATCCATTAGTTTCTGTGTTGTATCGCGGGGCTCTATGCTTGCGCTCTTTTTGAGCTATCAGGTGGTGTTCGGCTGTTGAAGACGGATCGTGTTGCTCTTGCAGTGGCTACGACGGTTGTTGGAATACTCTTAGCACACCAAAGAAGTTAGAAATGACGGTTTAAAATCGTGTTGAATAATCTATACGTAAAATAAGGCTTTATATCTATATCTAGTATCGAATGATGCAAGGCCGTGCTGTATTCGCATTGTTCCACTTCAGTACTGCGAGTGCAGTTATGTTCCAGGCTAATGTAATTACACTCATCACACTTACATCTTAGCACACACCCAACAGCACACACTACACACACACATGCGCATCATACATCTACATCACACCACACACACACACGTTGTCACACCACACGACATGCACTACACACACTACACACACAACACACACACACACACCACATGACAGACACACACACACATCACACACACACACAGCACAGCACACACACACACAACACACACACACACACACTAACATATATATATATATATGCGCACGTTTGTGCGCACGTGTGTGTGTTGTGTGTGTCTGCCGCGTGTGTGTGTGGTTCACCCTGTGCTGTGGGTTTGTAGATGCGTGTTGTGTGTGGTGATGTGTGGTGTGTGTGTGGTGTTGTGTGTGCCGTTTTGCTTTCTGTGTCTGTTGGTGTGGCTAATTTGTATGCTGATGGCGTGTGAATATTATCATATATTTTTATTATTATATAGTATCACTATATATATTTGCTGGAAAGCGTTGGCACATATTATCGAATCACTGCTAGGAAGCTGATACATCAGGCCACCACCAGGTAAACGCCTCACTGCTCGATGTGGCCATATTCACCAAAACATTTAACACACTCTGTGCTCTACAATGTGGTGGCAAATAAGCGTATCAACGCCCAAAGCTAGCTGCACCGACCGTGGCATGTCGATCTGTTACGTGAAGGCAAAGCTCGGAATCGTGGGATCCGCTACTAGGCGTGCCGTCAAAAGTAAGACATAGGAATTTCATGCTGTCTACCTGGTTTGACCAGTTAACGCAGCACCTGTGCCACGAGCAGTCATAATGCATTATCATTGTGCTTGGGGCAGTGTGACATACGTGAAGTTAACGGATTGGTCAGATTACTGTGTTTTAGCTTCACCAGAAATTATTGCTATCATTGCTTAGTTAGTACAGGTAGATATCTTGACATGGTGCGGTGTACTGTAGAGAACTCAACGGAAGCAGAACTACTTACGCAAGAAATGCCATTTAGGTTCAGTTGAGATCTCTACAATGAAAAACGTTCTCTGCTGATTTCACGAGAATTTCAAGATTTATGTTTACAATAATATCTGTGACACATCTATATAGTGTCCGCAGAACGTGCGCAGGTTTCCGAACCCCGCTGTAAGCAAATACACCTCAGGTTTACGACCCGCTCTTTGGTACACGGCAGTAAATGATACGTAGCTGAACTGATGGAACACATAACCGATATTTTTTCATCGGGTCTATCACAGCCGATTCAATCGGGACGTGTAGCGATTTTATTGACTCAGACGAAAAGAAGCGGAATTTGTACCACAGCTAGTATTTTCTGGCTGTTTGTAGCACGTGTAGTAACGTCAACATAGCCTAGCGTGGTAGGTGTGACAAGAAGGTGTAGAGCAGTGATGGAGACCACTTGTCACCGTTAGGCTACATGGCGAGATTCGTGCTGAGCACGGAGCGTGAGTTTCGTGCTCAGCAGGAACCTCACACCCCCGCACACGCTGAGTTTTCAGCTTCGCGAGACCAAAATTATCAAACACGACAGATATTTTCCTCACCGCCTCACGAGACCGAAAACTCAGTGAAATCGACCCCGCACACGGTGAGGTTCCTGCTGAGCACGAAACTCACGCTCCGTGCTGAGCACGAACCTTACCGTGTGCGGGGGCCTTTAAGTGTCACCCTATTGTGCGTTGGCCTGTTATCACGAAAGTGAACAAAGTGATGCAATGAGAGCATCATCACACTAATTGTGTAAATGAGTATCACGCGATTAGCATTTTGTACCTGGTCACATGTGTGTCACCTCTACACACTAAATTGTAACCACTCTCGTGTGTCGTAAATGGACGTCTTCCCACTTCGGTGACACCGCAATCTCACCAGTGTCGTGTTATAGTCGATGATGCTGATTTCATCGTACACATTACAGCCGTACTGCCAGGTATCGAGGACTTTCTTCGTCGAGGCTTAGCCGTTGAGGAGCTATCGCCGACGGCAGAGACAACCCGGCAGCAGCTACTGCGCACGCTCGACGAGCAGGCAATAAAACGCAGGTAAACTATTACATATATTTACGTCACGTCTTGCCAATTTATATAGATCTCTAGATATAAGGCTGTCCGATTAATCATATATATA